TCACTTCTGACAAAACACCCACTGGTGGCAGCTTTTGATGGTGTAACATTGGAAGAGACTACATGAGCAGGCCATGATTCAGAGGGTATTTGAGAGGCATGGAGAAAATGGTAGCTACAGTCGTAATGACATTGCATGAATAATATTAAGTACTATGATGGGCTACAGAAAAACAAGGAACAGCTGAGAGATTAATGGTCAATTGGAAGCCACCTGTGAAACAAGAGATGCTCTTTGGTGGCAAACAAAGTTCTCCTTTTCACTAGGAGGAGGCAGAAAAGCCAAGACCACCTCAAGGATCCAACAGTAAAACTGGCTGAACTTCAAAGAAAGTTAAATGCCCCAATCAAAGCCCATCTCTAAGACCAAGGTCAGGACATTGGTTGTGAAGACTTCAGACCCTGGCACATGAAATAGAGACATTTGGGTGAATTACCACAATGCTTTTGCCTGTCCAGACTTGCCTGAAATTTCTGAGCCTGCATAAGGAGCCAATTTCATCAGTAAGAGCTGATGTCCCTCTGTGATAGAAGACAAGGTGGAGGTGGAGGTTGCTTCCCGACAAGGCAACGGGCGCCCCCTCAGGCTGTATCTCTGACTCTCCTTTTGATCTTCAGGCCACGCATCATGAAGATCTGAGGACCACATGCAGCTTTCATCATGAATGTGGTCCTCTAGTTTTTGGAATAACTAGAGTTTAGTCTTCTCATACCAGCTGGGATGATGCTGAGTCTGATAGGAGAGGGGAGGGTCTACTTAGAAGGAGCTGTATCACCAAGTCAGTGTGTGATATCCACAAAAGACATATACACCAAAGAGTGGATCTCTTCAGGGCTTGATTCTAGGGCTGAAACATAGCCTTAAGGAAGAGGTTGTTGATGTCAGAGTGTTCTGAGATCCAGAATCTAACACCTTGGACAGTGCCCAAGTAGATGGTGTGACCTTCCACTAGGATGGTCATTAATTAGATGGATGGAAAAAACTATAGTCTACACTGAGTGGAGCAGAAATGTCAGCATTGCTGTGGCAGATGGTAGCAGATGGGAACAAAATCTCAGAGAAGTGAATGCGCTGGAATGGAAGAACTACCTGATGTTTTTGTTCCACAGCAAGGAAAACAAAATGCATCATGGCAAGGATGCATGAAGGTCATGACAAAGAGCTACTGAGAGGACCCTGCCATCACTCAATGGTTCAGAGGTGGTGTTCTCTTGGACCAGGGCTCAGAGGAGGAGAAGCAGTAATAACACTTGGCTTGCTGATAACAAAGTAGATGATAGGACCTGAAATCATAGAGACCCTGTGGACATTTTTATTTGCCTGTAGTGAGTCGGTCACACACATCTCAATGACCAGCAATGTCATAGTGTCAGTTGAGGGGTTCTATGAAACAAGAGGCTCTTTGGTGGCAAGAAAATAAGTTCTTCTTTTCACTAGGAGAAGGCAGAAAAGCCAAGACCACCTCAAAAAAACTGGCTGAACTTCAAAGAAAGTTAAATGCCCTAATCAAAGCCCATCTCTAAGACCAAGGACAGGATATTGGTTTTGAAGACTTGGGACCCTGGCACATGGAATACAGACATTTGGGTGAATTGCCTGACCAGACTTGGGTGAAATTTCTGAGCCTGCATAGGGAGCCAGTTTCACCAGTAAGAGCTGATGTCCCTCTGTGATGGAAGACAAGGTGGAGGTTGCTTCCCAACAAGGCAACAGGTGCCCCCTCAGGCTGTGTCCCTGCCTCTCCTTTTGCTCTTCAGGCCACACATCGTGAAGATCAGACAGGCATGGACATATGTATGGAGAAAACTGTGTGGACATCTAACAGAGGCCTGTGCCAGTAAACCAAATTATGATCGAAAACAAGGAGGCTGAGAACAGGCACTCTTTTCCATGGTAGCTACAGTCCCTTCTTTGTTTCCAGGACTGAGCTTGTTTTCAGGACTGGAACCTAATAGTTGAAGAGATACTGGGGTCCTTGTGAAGACACCCTACCATTGAAAAGACAAAAGAAATCGGACCATCAGAAAATCACGTCAAATTATTATATTGATGACAGCAGATTGATCAGGCAGGATGTGCAAGAGATGGTCAGCATGCTGGGAACCGTGGTAAAATATATTTCATGGAGTGTGTAAGGATTCAGGGGTCTGCCATATCAGGAAAAAAGTTTTAGGCTTTCAGGCATCCTATCTGAGGTAGAAAACAAATTGTGGCTTCTTGAATATCTCACCATGTAAAAGGCAGCACGAAACCTGATGGCCCTTTTTGGGTTTTGGAAATAACACAGAAGCAGAGGCTGTGATCTTATGCCTTGGCCCATGTGCTGGCTGACAAAGAAGGTGGCCAGTTTGTGGGGACTCACAGCAGAAAAAAGCTCTGAAATTGTCCAGTCTTTGATGAAAAAACCCCCTGCTGCTTAGGTAAAAGAATCTGGCAAACCCTATGGTGTTGGAGGCGTCAGTGGAGGGAAAGGATGCTACGTAGAGTCTATGGCAAGCCATGTCAGGAGAGTCACAAGACAGGTGTCTAGGGTTGTTGAGCAAGGCCTCACCATGAGCAGAAGAGATACGCACTATTTGAATTAGTTTTCGCAAGCTTCCTTAATGGAGGAGAGCAGAACGGGTGGCTTAAAGAACACACACTTATTTTCTCATAGTCCTGGAGACCAGAAGCCAAGACCAAGGTGTCAGCGGAGTTGATTCCTCCTAAGGCTTCTGTCCTTTCCTTGTAAGGCAGATGTCTTCTCCCTGTGTCCTCCCGTGGCCACGTGTGTGTCTGTGTACTAATCCCCTTGTCTTGTAAGAAAATACTCCTCTCATTGGATCAGGGTACACCCACATGACCTTATTTTACCTTCATCACCTCTTGAAAGACCCCATCTCCAAATACAGTCACATTCGGAAGTCCTGGGTGTTAGGAAACTTCAACATATAAATATGGTGTGTGACACAATTCAGTCCAGCACACAATTTAGTGTTCATCTCCTGATGTGGCAATGCATTCTGGTAGATACCAGGCATTTCACTGTGGAGTGTCTAGTGACCATGAGTTCAGACCACTCAACATGAGTTGGGGCCTGTCAAACACACTGATACCCAAAGTCAGATTGATTCAGCAACAATCCTCTTGGAGTTGGAAGTGGTACCACTATGCCATAAGCTGCATGAGAAGGTAGCCCAGACCCTCATGTGACTTTCCCCGAATAATGCATAAATGCTTATTCCTCCAGTCACAGCAAATGGCTGTTTGGGTAGGAGTGCTCTATGACCAACTGGAAAAGAGGAAGAAGCCCAAGCTCGTTTTTTGGATGGATGATTTTGGTGGGAAGTAAGAATGTGCAACAGCTGCACTACATCTTTACCCGAGAGTGGCTTTAAAAAACCAGTGGAGAAAAAAAGATTCTCCCAGTTGGGAAGACTTTAAGTAGATCACCTGACCATCCACCTAGTGCAGAGAGAAGTCCTGAGATTGGAATATATATGGGCTCATGGGTAATTGAGAATAGCTTGTCTGACTCATGAAAAGCATGGAAGAAAAGAGATTGAAGGATGGGGACATACTTGACGGAGACCTGGATATCTTAAGTACAGACATGTATGACCATGTGGGAAGATCCCAAAATGTACAGATCTTTGCACCATGCATGAATGTCCACCAATAAGTATCTGTCAGGAGACATTATTCCTGCATCCGAAGTCATACTGGAGCCTTCTGAACTTAAAACTGTCAGATTTTATGGCTCTAAGATCTAAAGTTATTCAAGTAGGTCTCCAGACTTTTTCCCCTTAGTGTTATCTTCACCCTAGTCATTCTTGCCTCTTCACTCATCTTCCTATGTCACACACACACACACACACACACACACACACTCACTCACATACCTTATAGATGTTAAATTAAATGCCATAACTCTCTACCCTTTAAGCATTCTGCTACCATCCATTCAACAACATTTTGTTCCATGACAGGATGACTCTAATATTAAGGGATGGTAGAGAATCTTGACAGATTATTGTGGAGGTGACCAGAGGCAGCCACAGATGCAGAGAAACAGGGTGAGAGTAGGGCAATGATAAGACCGTGGGGGCATTAACAATGCTGTAGTCCATGGTATTTGGCCATAAATCTTGGTGTCTGCATTACTGTACTAACCAGATGGCTCTAGAACCGATTTTGGATGTGGCTCAGCTATTTATTGATCTTCATTCCTCTCCCTTTTCATGGCAATATTTTGAGCTTTCAATATTTCTCAACTGGAGTGGTTTTTCTCTTGAGGGGACATTTGACAATATCTGAAGATATTTTTGTTTGTCTCAACTGGCTGGGTAGGAAGAAAAACTATCCTACTTTCCTCATCTGCATAAATATCCTATAATGCATAGAACAGCCTCTTACAATAAAGAATTGTATAGCCTAAATATCAATGGTGTTGAGGTTTAGTAACCCTGTTCTTTATTATTTCACCTATTCCTTTTAGCTTAAATTAGCTAGAGTTGGTTTTGACTGATTGCTACAATGACCATGATAGATGTAGGTAATTTACACTTGAACATGATTTGCATTTAAGGGTGCCATTTATCCCTGAATGTAAAAGTGTCTTTCTCAAGTGTTTTCCCAAGTTTAAGAAAGGGTCCCTAAGTTATTTGCTTCTCCTGTTGTACACAATAACACAACAAAACCTGTGAAAGATTCACCTACTTTTTCTCCTTCTATACCTGTCCTACCTTGGAGGATGCATTGCGAACTTTATCCTTAAAAAGTTGCAGAGCCCGAGCCCATGGATCAGAGAAAATTCTTGCAAAGCAGATTCCCATATGCAGTATCGATGTTGATTAATTGAACATTTATAATCAGCAGAGAACCCAGCACTGAAAAAACAGCTCATCAATTACTGTAACCAATCTCCTGGTCATTGGTGAGATAAATTAATGGTCCAGTGAATGATAAGCATGTATTGACATGGATTGTAATTATTGTTTGTTGTCTTTTCTGGTCAATAGGAGTCATCTGTGCTTGGAAGTTTATTGCTGTTCTGATGTTGAAGGATACTATGCCAAGTGACCACACAGAGGGCATGGTGTACTGCCCTTGTCTAGGTAAGTGCTACCAGGAGTCCAAGAAGTTAATGCCTTATGAAGCAAAACGTTAACCAATAGATGAAGCAAGTCAAAAGTTTATTGCTGCTTTCTTCCATTCCAAATGTGCGGTGCCAAGGCAGGTTGTATGCATCTCAGTGGCGTTTTCCTGCAGACTGGCCAACGAGCAGCACCCAGGACCATCAATGCATAGACTCTCCTACATTTTTTTCTCACTCTTCTTGCTCCTTACTCCTGTCTCTGGGTTTGAACTCCTAGTAATACATTAGTGTATACACAGCCACTGCCTTTAATGCTGCTCTCTGGGAAACAGCAGAGGTATATCCCTGTAATCTTTATCTGGACACACTCAGTAAATGTCCACCATTTCCCTCAAAGCAGAAACAGAGAGCCATACTTCTCATTTGTCTTTCCTCTCACCTCTCAAAATATCTGATTTAGCCTCCAATGTCTGTTGGCTTTGTCTTGATCTCTCTTGACTTCATTCCATTCTTTATGTTTCCACACCCACTGACTTACACCCATGCAAACATTACGTTGCCATAATTGTTACTAAAGAATCCCAGAGCTGGAACCCAGTTCTATTCTCAGTAGTCAGTAGAACGCATTTCTGAGATTGAGAAATACCATCTTCTTATGCCTACTGTGACCAGTCATCTTCAGTTGCTCAAGTCTAAGGTGTTCTGAGGATGTGGGCATTCAGTTCTAAAACTAGAGAGTCCCAGGGAAACCAAGATAATCTGGTCACTCTTTTTGCTAGGAACCCTACAATGGCTTCTGTGAATGTTAGAGTGAGGGTCAAATTCCTTAGTCTTGCCACCAAAACTTTTAGCTTACTTTCTGACTTCACCTGTGGACATGTTTCCATTACTTATTTTACTTCAAGAATGAAAATTCTTGTGTTTTCTCCAACAGGTCATGCTTAACTTTGCCTGGGTCTTCACTACTTTGAATGCCTTTTCCCACATTTTCACCAATAAAATGACTCCTTCCATGAAAAATTTTAAGTTGATGAAGAAGTTTAGGGGCTCCCATTATAACTGTTGCACACATATAGTTTATCCTTTATCCGTTTTAGACTAATGTTTGACCTGCGTGTCATCTGCTCCTTTTAGATAGTAAGTTTCTTGAAAGCTGGAACTCGACTTTTTCAGCTACTACGGTTTGAGTGTTTTTGTGTCCTCCAAAATTCATGTTGAAAGTTAATCCACAATGTGATACTATTAAGAGGTTGGGCCTTTAGAGGTGATGAGGTCATGAAGGCTCTGCCCTTACAAATGGGATTAGTGCCCTTATAAAAGGGCTTGAGGGAGTCTCCTTGGACCATTCTGCCCTTCTTACATTTAAGAACGCAGTGTTCCTCTCTTCTTGGATATGAGAATATAGAAAGAAGGCACCATCTTGGAAGCAGAGAGTGAGATCCCATCAGACACTGAATCTACTTGCACCTGGAGCTTGGACTTCAAAACCCCTAGAACTATGGGAAACAAATTTCTATTATTTATAGATAAGGTATTTTGTCTAAGGTATTTTGTTATAGCAGCTGAAACAGACTGATACCCTAACTTTGAATATTTTACATTATTATGCATGGTATATTGCAAAGTATATTGCATGATTTTATATATATATATATGTATGTTATAGTATATAGTAATATAGTAGGTTTGTGTTCTGTCTTCTGTACAGGAATTTATATAACTCATCTATATAGAGTTCTTGGCACGTAAAAAACCCTCAGTGATGATTTACAATTGGATTAAATAACGCCATCAGTGCTCAGGAAGTGGCCCAACCATTTCTAGGCATTCTATGAAGAAGAAACTCATGAATAATTGAGGGAATGAAAGAAAGAATGTTTTCTCCTTTCAGAAATTCTCAAACACACTAGTGTGTTCTGAGAAATCAAAATTTGCATCTAATTTACAAAATAAAGAGCAATGTGATTGTTCCTATACGTGTGATTCTCTATTTCATTCTCTTCTTGGTAAGTCCAACCTATTTTGGGTAGACTTTGGGGAACTTGAGACCTGTTGTCTCTCCACTAGGCGAATCTTTTTGCACAGATTGAGATTTATTTTCTTGAAGCTATGTGAGGGGATTGGAACCTGAATTATAGTTTATAAAATAGTTCTGGTGGCAATTTATTTCCTGAGAACTGTCATAGGATGGCCTAAATGTATGCTTCTAAGGAATAATCATGAAAAGCATAACTCAATATTTACATACATCTCTGCACAGTGATGATGGCATAACTGCATTAAATAATCATTTTGTCATGTAAATGCCATCACCTTCCCAATAGCAACAGCTTATTATGTATCATGCTGATGTAAATAGGGGATCAAAGATTGTGGACTATGGGTCATTCCGAAACGTAGTGACCCTTGCCAATCATCCAACATGGGCTTCTAGTTGTCAAATTCAGCTCCTGAAACATGAAAAAATGCATTCCATCCTCTTTTTCACATTACCCACCTGCATCTTGTATGAAGGCAAATTCCTTGTGCTTTTTTCTGGCAATCTGTTAAACCTCTAACTATGGTGTGATATGATTTGGCTCTGTGTCCCACCCCAAATCCCATGTCGAATTGTAATCCCCAATGTTGGAGGAAGGGCCTGGAGGCCTGGTGGTAGGTGAGTAGATCATGAAGGTGGATTCCCCCTTGCTGTTCTCATTTTAGTGGGTGAGTTCTCATGACATCTTGTTGTTTAAAACTGTGTGGCACCTACTCCTTTTCTTTTTCCTTCTTTTCTAGCCATGAAAGATGTGCCTGTGTCCCCTTCATCTTCTACCATGGTTGTAAGATTCCCGAGGCCCTCTTAGCCATGCTTCCTCTGCAGTCTGTGCAACCATAAGCCAACTAAACTTTTTTTTGTTTTTAAATAAATTGCCCAGTCCAAGGTATTTTTTAATAGTAATGCGAGAATGGACTAATATATGGTGGGAGGGCACATACTTTCAGACCTCAGGAAAAGGACTCAGATAAAATCTGTGGCAATCACTAATGTTCCTTTCAAGACTGATTCAGACATTATCTCATATAACATACATGACAGGAGAGAGAGAGGTGAAAAAATGAGTTTTGTGCATTCAATTGGACTCCTCCAACTTCATTAATTATACGTATTATGTGGATATAATGATTCATTCTTATTTTCCAGTGAAGCAATGGGGAGGCACATTTACTCCATGCATTGCTCTTCCTACTCTCATTAGGTCCTTTTTCTAGGGAAGAATTTGTCTTCAACTCTTACTTGCCATCATCTATACCATCCACTCTTTTATTGACAGCTATGGAGACCATTAGGCACAAATGACATCTATCGGGAAGTTGTCATCCACATTTGGCTGTTTTTCTGCCTCGCTTATTTTTTAAGGCACTTTTCAGTAGATTAATGGATCTAAACCCTCATTTCAATTATTTTTATTATGCCTGGCTACTGCTTGCTCCCATTAAAAATGAGAGTGTACAGTTCATTTAAGGATTCAATATTCCCGTTAAACAGTAATTCACACTGGTTTCTCTATTACCACTCCACCAACTCATGGGATTTTTTTTTGATTTATAGACATACTTGCTGTTGGAACTCAGCCTCTGTCTGTTGAACATTGTGTGTATCTTGGGAACTTTCCCTTGAAATGCTTAATAATTACTAATGAAGTTTTCTCCAGCTTGTTTAGCTGCATCCACTGTGATTATCACAGTGAACTCAAGGCAAAATGAGAAATTTTAATGCATTTCTATGGGAGTAAGTAATTTTTTGCTTGCAGTGGTACGAACAGCAGCCAATTTCTACCAATAGAATTGGCACAGTCAACCACTGACATAGTTTCCATGAATTCAGACTTTCAATTGAGATCTATTTTCCTGGAATATTTGATTATATTTTTGCTCTTTTTACTTAAGGAGCAATTTCTGAGCAAAGGTAGTATCACTTGCAAAATATTTATTGAGGTATATAAGTGAGAGTCACACCAAATATATATCAGTTTTCTATGCTATGTAACTAATGACCACAGACACAGCTGCTGAAAACATTCATTTATTAGCTCATGGTTTTGCAGGTCAGAACACCAGCATGGTGTGAATGGATTGTCTGCTCATGGTCTCACAAAGCTGAAATCAAGGTGTTGACTAGGCTGAATTTTTACCCAGAAGCTTTGGGGAAATACACACCTCCAAGCTCAATCCTGTTATTGGAAAATCTCAGTTCCTTGTGGTTGTAGGACTGGGGTCCCTGTGTTTTTGCTGGCTGGCTGCCCACAGTCTTTTAAAGATAGTTTCCTCAATCCCTAAGCCAATAACAACACATTAAATCCTGGTCATACTTCACATCTCCAACTTCCTATTTTGCTGTAGCCAGAGAAAATTGCTTTCAAATGCTTATGGCTCAACTACATAGTGTCTCTATCTTTAAATTAATTGATTTGGGACTTTAATAACATCTGCAAAATACCTTCACTGCAACACCTACATTAGTGTTTGATTGGAGGATGTGTGTGTATGCCAGGAGGTAGGAATCTTACGAGTCATTTTTTAGAAATTGCATTTTAGGTTTTGGGGTACATGTGAAGAACATGCAAGATAGTTGCATAGGTATACACAGGGAAGTGTGATTTGCTGCCTTCCTCCCCATCACCTATATCTGGCATTTCTCCCCATGCTATCTCTCCCCAACTCCCCACTCCTCACTGTCCCTCTGCTATTTCCCCCCAACAGACGCCAGTGTGTGATGCTTCCCTCCCTGTGTCCATGTGTTCTCATTGTTCAACACCCACCTATGAATGAGAACATGTGGTGTTTGATTTTCTGTTCTTGTGTCAGTTTTCTGAGAATGATGGTCCTTTTTACCACACTTGGTATTATTTTCTTGGGACTTCCCAGCTTGAATTGCCCAAGAACCTAACAACTTATTTATTCTCAAGAATTTACTTCTCTTGTTTCAAAAATATTAGTTGAAAGCAAAATTGGTGAGAATGTGCCACCCCCTGCTGCTGATGTCGCTGATGCTCCCACTGAACTGAGTGTAGGACAAAATATTAATATTCTTCTGCAAAAATGAACTCAGGAGTCATTGAAAAATCTGATTCTTTTGGATGCACATGGAAGAGTTTATATTTAAAGTAAATAAGACGATACTGGGTTTACACTATATTAAGTCCAAAACTTCAGACAGTCTTCTTGGGGAGGATTGCTGTGTGGTCATAATCTCATCGTACAGTAATTGGGATCATATCTGGAGAATGCAGCTAACATTCAGATTCACTTGGGTCCACACTGTTCACAGTCAGCACTACGGGTCCTTGTTGGGAGACTTTGTAGAGTTCAGATTAGGTAATGGATATGTGTGCCTCACTGATGGAATTCATTCTTGCTACTATAATGTGTGATTTTTTTTTTGGCTTTGCTAAAGCCATCATCTGGGGACTTACTGGAAGCCTTATAAATGGTCATAGTATCTTGCACAACATTGCTTCTAACCAAGGAACCCATGTTAGATAATGAGTTATTGCAGATGAGAATCACTGATCTTGTCATGTGATACCCAATACCCAGAAGCAGCTGGCCTTATAGAATAATGAAATGACCTAATATAGTTCATTCATACCTCCATTTAAGGAAATGCTTTCAATATAAAGTGCTGCCTGTAAGATTAAGAATATTCTTTGAAACAGCTTAATCAATGAGGCAGTTCTTTTAGCCAGAGTACATGAGCCAGGGAACTAAGTAATAGAATTGAAGCTGGAATATCTCACAGATACTCGATGACCTTCTACAATTTTTGCCTCACGTCCTCATTGTATAGAAAACTAAATACCCAATAAAGGAATTCTAGCACTAAGAGATTAATAGTCTTGCTGTATTTGGAGCTTATGCTCGCAGCTGGTCACTGCAACTCAGGAAGTCATCGGGTAGACAAGCACACAACAGAATTTTGCTTTTAGCCAGTATGCCCAACACATACATTCATTCATGACTAATGGCCCCACCTATCTCTTTCCTAGCTGCCACTGTGGTGAGCATTGCATGTGCTCTGGCTGAAATGTGGGGTTCTTGGAAACTGAATCAGCTCATTCCATACAATGCTTTTCCACTCCTGGACTTTTATTTATCAAAATCCTATTAAATAAGAAAAACATGCCCCAGGGTGATACCTTTCTGCTCCTCTTCACATCAAAAATGTTGATTCAATTCTACAAAACAATTCTGTGACCACGAGGAATTGTTTATTTGGGCAATATAGGTATTTTTTCTCTGTTAATAAATATTGAATTGATATATTTTATTTTAAAGAATTAATAATATAATGCTACAATTTATTTTCATTTTCTTTATAATTACGCCAATCTTTTCCAAGTAACAGATTCTAAGACAGTAATTTTGTACCTGATCTCATTTGGATCTCAAACTATGCTTAAAGAGGCTTATTTTTATGCTATAAGAAATGAAACAGATTTAGATGCATAAAAGGGCTCCACTGCCAATTGCTATGACATATTGTAATATATAGTTACCATTTCAAACACAGTAATTATGTATCAGGAACTTGCCCCATGCACAGAATCCTGAGTTATTAATGCAGTTACAGTCTCTAACAGAAATGAAATTATTCTCATTTTATAAATGAAGAAATAGCACCCCAGAGAGAGCTGAGCCCCTAAAAGTAAACCCTAACCAGAATGATACTGAAATATAGTAACAAAAAAGAGAAATTACCCTTCTCCAATGGGTATGTCAATTCTATTTCAGGGTTTCTTAACCTTGGCGTGGTGGTTATTTTGGTCTAGGCCAAGCTTATCCAACCCACTTTGTTTGTTCTGTTTTGTTTTAGACTTTTAGCAGTCTAAAGCCGTGGATTTTAGTTTCTGTCTCTAGTGATAAGTGGAAAAGATAGATGAGGAAGGGACTTTACTGGCTTAGCCAG